CAAGCAAAGGAGATGGCCACTGAAGCCCTCTTTACCATCAGTCCTTCATGGTGTTCTTTATCCTTTTCAAGTCAACACAAAGTTGTGAATAAGATAGAATAGTTGCTGTTGTTATTTAGTTGCTAACTTGTACCACCAACTCTTGCGATCCCATGGACTGTAGCCTGCCAGGCTCCTCTGTCCATGGGATTTCCCAGGCAAGAATACTGGCATGGGTTGCCATTTCCTCCTCCAGGGGAACCTTCTTGAACCCAGGGATTGAACCTGGGTATCCTGCATTGGCAAACAGATTCTGAGCCACTTGGAAAGCCCAAGATAAATAAAAGAGAAGTTTCTGATTTTCAAACCTGTCTAGTTAAAAATCTCAAAATGAGCTAGTGATTTAGAGATATCTTCCTTACCGCTTTTACTAATGAGAAACTAAAGCACATGGAAACTGTTCTGCCCATAGTCACCCAGGGCAGTGACTAGAACTGGTCTTCCTATTCTCATACAGAGCAGAGCAGAGAGGATTCTGAAAGCACCTTGTATAGTGAACATGTCTGCTTTGGCAGTAAATACACGGAAGGAAGTCAGTCATTCAGACTTGGTTGGATGGTGTTAGAAAATACCTATCCCACTTTTCAAGAGTTTATTGTGGTGAAAATAAGAAAGGACTGCCCAAATAGTGTAAATCAGTCTTCTTCACAAACGCTAAGTCCAGGTATTGGAAAGCCACGTTCCTCTCACTCTTGGTGTTGGCTTTATTTGCAAAATATGAACCCAGAGAGACTAAGGACAGGCATTGCCATACAATTTTAAGAATTTACCTGCCAGTTTCCTGCCATATTTTTAATAAATGAGCTCAGAGCTTATCAGCAGAGTCCTCAGAGATATCTAGGAATAAAATCTGTTACTCTGTAAAAATCCATGCTAAATAATGAATCACATTTACTCATATATGGGTAATTATACTATTCAGTGGGGAAGACCACTTTGGAAACCTGTACATATAACAATAGAAAAACAAAAATTTAATAACTACAGAGTCCCTTGGACTGCAAGGAGATCCAACCAGTCCATCTTAAAGGTGATCAATCCTGGGTGTTCATTGGAAGGACTGATGCTGAAGCTGAAACTCCAGTACTTTGGCCACCTCATGCGAAGAGTTGACTCATTGGAAAAGACCCTGATGCTGGGAGGGATTGGGGGCAGGAGGAGAAGGGGACGACAGAGGATGAGATGGCTGGATGGCATCACCGACTCGATGGACATGTGTTTGAGTAAACTCCAGGAGTTTGTGATGGACAGGGAGGCCTGGCATGCTGCGATTCATGGGGTTGCAAAGAGTCGGATACGACTGAGTGACTGAACTGAACTGATATAGGTCAAAAAATAACACTGTGAAAACTGATTTCTTGGGGACTTGTTGGAGTTAAAATTGCCATTCATTTCTTCCCATTCAGGACTATTTCAATGTTCTTGCTTACCTCCTTTTTAAATTATATTTAAATGACTGAAATTAAAACATACAAACTGTTTGGTAAACAGTTAAATTGACTTAATTTTTTAGTAAAGTGAAATAGCTAATTATAATTATAATGCTGTTGTGTGTTGTTTTTAAAAGAGTTTGTTTTACAGAAATTGCCTTTGTCAAAATGCAGAAAAAAAAATAGAAATCATTGATTTAGAAACCATTGAAATGGAGGACTAATTTTCTAAGAATCTCTCATTCCATAGCCTAAACTCATAAAATACTCTCCATCTTGTCCTAAAAATGGCATACAAATGCTTTCCATATTTCAGAGAGACTCTGGTTTTTGTTTCTTTCTTTGCATGTCTGTTTGCCATGGAATGATACAAGGGTGGCTCACTTGTTTATACTTTGTTACAAAACTCAGAGAGATATGTTGGTATAAAATGTAGGTGCTGGATAAATGAAAGCATCTAATTCTGTTTACCTACCATGATCCTGAAGCTAGAGTCGTATAATCTGATTGTTTCCTCAGATTACTTTTCCACACACTTGCCGGGTTATGGCTCCAAGGCTCAGGCAGTGAATTCAGTGTTACTGACGATGAGACAGATGATAATCACATTCATTGGGTAAACAAACAATACCAGTTGTGGGAGAAGGGGATTCATTTGAAATTGCTTAAATCACGATTGAAATTGACTATATTTGATCTTCCATAAAACCTTTGTGACTCTAAAGACTTTAGTTGTTCTGTTTTCTAGAACCTCCTGTGGATTTAGGGAGAGAAGATAAAGAACACAATTGCTCACAGCAGTGCCCAGCTCACAGTAAGCAGAAAGGGGCAGGTCAGCAATGCTTCTGATAGGCTCTCAATCCTTCTGCTCAGCAGGACTCTTATCTTTCTGCTCCTCCCTCCTCTGAAGCTATGCACTTTTAAGGACTGTAAATGAAATGGATCAGAAGGTAAAATGTTTAATTCAAAATCCATGCTCTGATTTTTCTGTAGAATCTCTACAAATATGCAGATTCACCCAGTCTAAGCTGATTGGTATGATTGAATCCAAATATAACTTCAGTAAGAATGTTTTCTCTCTCTCATCTTTCTAGAACACATGGGATTTTTCTTAAAGACTTTTTAGACATTTTACATTTTATTATCATATTTCATATAATCACTCTTTTTCTTAATGGGTACATTGAGGGAGAAAGGCTTTTGTTTTAAAATTTCCCCCACTAAGTTCAACAACTCTTCTTATACATCTTCTTATAAAAATTTCTAATCTGTTTATGCAGTTAAGAGACTTTCATTTAAAGTGAATGTTTGAAAAATTGACTTCAAATTATCATCTTCGTGAATATGGGAAACTGAACTGAAAACTGTGAGATTCCCATTGTAAGGAAGCCCTTGATCAATACAAATTAAGTTACTGAAAATGCAGCATCATTCTTAATATGCATGGAAATTATGCTTTCTATGAAGCAAATTAGCTTGCAATAGCTTTCAAAAATTTTGAAATGTGCTCGGAGACATATTTAAAAACCTGAGAGTACAATGAAATATGTTTAATGAAGCTAGTCATGGATGTTTAACTGAAAGCCATACCAGCTTTATTATTGCTGGCATCAGTATCTGCCTCATGTTTTCATATTAATGTCTAATGAGGCTGCCGTTCTAAGTGAAAGAAAAATGTCAACGATTCTTAGAAGCATCTCTAATATGATACTTATTAGTCCACTGAATCTATTTATTTCATATAGATGCATTATATTTTCTTTTTGGAAGCTATTCAGTTTATAAGAAATTGTTTCTATCTAAAGGAAACACTGATTCTTAGATAAGCTGGTGGAAAATATCACCAGAAACATCGCATCAGACAAATCTCTACAGAGCATTTTTTATTTCCTATCATGCAAACTATAGTCTAATGTGAATTGTTTGATCTGCAAACATCCCAACACTCAGTAATTGATCAGTCTAAGCAAAATGTTCTTTTCAAATTTGATCATGAAAACAACAAGAGAAAACCCAACCTCAAACGTAAACCAAAAGGGGTGTTGTAAAAATAAACACAAATGAAGACTGGATACGCTGAGTAATAGTCATTTCTTTTCATTGAACTTATGCTGTTTTAATGCTCATTTTATGATGATCTATGTTTAGTTTTTTCCAAAAGGTATTTAAGTTTTACTTGATTTAGAGGGGAAAGATTACTTACTAAAAAAAATCCTAAATGGAGGAGGCAGTTAAAATGCCATTTTCAAAATTCTATTTTCTGAATAAAGTCAATTTGCAGCTCAAAAAATAAAAGAAAGGAAGAAAGAAAAGGGCACATAGAGGTCAAGCTTATGCAAACAACTGTCCTGCTGTGCTCTGTCCTGCTCTCTTGGCTGCTCCTGACTGTTTCCGGTGATTAAGAGCAGGGCATTTGAGGAGACAGGGATGGATTCCACATCAAGTTCATCTCTTGCTGCTTTATGATCCTTTCCCATTATCTAAGCTTTCTCCATCTCCTTTAACAAGGCTACAAAGTGAAGTAATAATAGCGACCTACAAGGATGTTGTGAAAATTAAAAGAAAGAACATGAATAAAATGCTTACCCCCAAGCTCTGTATGTATTAATATATGCTCATTATCAATAATGGTTTTAGTAGTAGTAGTAAATAAACAACTAATTAAACAGGTAATAAAAAGGATATCAATATTCTATGAGTCCAGACTACACATCCTAGAAATAGAAACATTTTCAAAAATGAATACTAAAAAACAATTTTTTCATTGCTCCCCCCCAAAATAGCTATTAATTAAAAAACAACAACAACAAAAAAACCCCTCACACCTTTCACACACTAAATCTTTTTAATCAAAGATTTTCCTGTCAGTCCTTTGTAACTAAATCATAGAAAAGTTAGCCTAATCCAGAGAAAGTCAGGGAAGGAAATGAATATGGACGGTCTGGTGAGCCCCATCCTCAATAGAAACACAGTGAATCCAGACTTCCAGTGACCCTCTTGTTGGGCGCAACATAAATCAATGTCAAGAAATTAACAACTCAGGCTTTTTACATTCACTCTGCAGTTATTTGCATCTCATGCTTCCTCAGCTGTTATTAATCACATCAAAATAAAGGAAACAGATAAGGCCTTCCAGGACATCAGGGGGGGAGAAGTGAAGGAGTCACTTGTCCTATTTCAGTGTGGAATGCAGTGGTGGACAGGTATGCGTTGGAGTACATCGGAGCAATATGAAGGAGAAAAAAGACAAAGCACGTTGTGTCTCTGTCCTGAAAAAAGGAATTAGAGCTAGGGGAGAGTGGCTGCCTCAGCACCGATTTTGAAAAGACCTATGCAGATTCTCGCTTCTCCTTTCAGCGACAGAGGATGCTTGGAGGGCATCACTGATTCAATGGACATGAATTTGGGCAAACTCTGGGAGACAGTGAAGGGCAGGGAAGCCTGGTGTGCTGCAACTATGAGGTCACAAAGAGTTGAATGTGACATAGCGATTGAACAACAACGCAACATGCAGATTCTCAAAGAGCCATCACCTCTGGACGCCTGACACAGAGAACAGGACGTCTCCCTGGGGAACCATGGTTGCAGGTGGACCAGGAAATCTTTCCCGGAGAGATGGACTGTCTGAAATTGAATGCAACACCTGTGCAGGTGTTCACATGTGCAGTGTGAGTGTGTGTGTCTATGTGTGTATATGTGCTCAGTTGCTCAGTTGTGTCTGACTCTTTGTGATCCATGGACTATAGCCTACCAGGCTCTTCTGTCCATGGAATTTTCCAGGCAAGAATACTGGAGTGAGTGGGTTGCCATTTCCTCCTCCAGCGATCTTCCTGACCCAGGGAAGGGACTGCATCTCATCTCCTGAGTCTCCTGCATTGGCAGGTGGATTCTTTATCACTGAGCCCCCTGGGAAGCCTCATGTGTGCATTATTCTGGAGGTAAATCCACACTCAAAAGAGATTATCACACTTACACACAGCCACCTGAAAGTCTTTAATGTCCATGAGATTATCATTTAGCAGCATGGAATATACATAAAGTCATGAACGAATAGAACTGGAAGGGACATCAGCAGTCAACAAACTGTTCACCCTTCCAATTTTATAGATGTGATACTGGGAATCCGAGAAGCTGGGTGACTGGTCCATGATCACAGTCAGAAAGCTTATAAGTGCTAGATTCAGATATAGGAGCCGTGTTTCCTCCCCCCCCATTCAGTGATCTTTACATTATATATTTGCATCAGTATTGATTATTGTCTGACCATACCATGTGTATAAAATATATTAAGCACCATTCTGCATACTAAATACATTACACAATTCTTTAGTGCTGAGCAATAAGCTAATAATTGGAGAGTTTGAGTAGGCAGCCTATTGGAGGCAGATCAAAAATTAAAAAATCCCCTGACTCTACAATGCCCAATTTGCTCTACACCCTAATGTTCTTTGTCTTGTCAATCACTCTCCTCCCAAGAATATAATAGCATTTTCCCGTTTTCATTTGTGTGTTTGTTTGAAAGCAATTCTCACAGCACTGAGCATGAAATGGGTTCTCAGGAGATTCATGTTGGTTGAGTATGATGGAGGTGGTAGTAATGATGATATTAGTGATTTGCTAGATACCCAGACTCCAAAATGATGGAAGCGAAAGAAAATGTGCCCTACGAATATTGATCTCTCATTAGATATCATATCCTGCATAAAAAGAGCCAGGAATATGCTGAAATAATACACAGAACACTCAACCATTGATCACTCAGAATGAGATTTAGAAAAGGAACTCATGGAATTCTAAAAACAGTGAATCCTGGGAAGATCCAACCTGATCCAGGGTTGTTAACACTGGAATACATAGACAGAATCCAACTGTAAAGAGACTTGTCTGAATGCTTTTGGGAATTATTGTCACTATATGCAGACTCATTCATTAAATTTTAAAAAAAGGAAAAATATATATCTACTTTCTCAATTACTTGTAAAGAATCATTTTGATTCTTTGTTTGCTCATTGAAACTGAGCAAACAGCCCTATGAATAAACACAGGCTGACATTATGAATTGACAAAATGGAAAACATTTGAACCCCAGCACTTGATAGGCAAGACTTTCCTCAGCTTTAGTCACTGTTACTGAAATGAAAGTGTCTTCTATAAGATTTTAAACTATTTTAATCTTCAAAGAATAATTAGCTTTTTAGCCTAAGTCTTTATATGTATGTGTATTAGTAGTTTAGCCACGTCCGCCTCTTTGTGACCCCACGGACTATAGCCTGCCAGGCTCCTCTGTCCATGGAATTCTCCAGACAAGAATGCAGGAGTGGGTTGTCATTGCCTTCTCCAGGGGATCTTCCCAACTCAGGTATTGAACCAGGGTTTCCTGCTTGGCAGGCAGATCTTTATCATCTGAGCCACCAAGGAAGCTCAATAAATTTTTAACATCAAGCTGCTCAATGAAAGGAACAGAAGATCCACTCTGTAACATAATACTGGGTACAGAGCAATCGACAGGAAAAGCAGAATAGCAAAAGGAAGGTCACTAGTGTCTGAAAATACTAAGATGAAGAATAAGTCTTAAGAATTTCAGGAGCTTAGTAACCTGAAACATCCCTTTTTCAATAAAATATTTTTAATTAGTTGCCTTTGACAGAGACTTGAATGGCAATATTTAGATTTTTGTCCATTATCTTCTTTGTATTATACTTTGTGTTAGGCCAAAAACTTGGGCTCAACCAAGGCCATGATGGATAAAATATCTTGTTTCCTATGTCCCTGGTCGTGAGCTTCCTTAGCAATATGTGCCTCTTCAAACTGAGTCGGCTGGCTGCTAGTTTAATTTTGAGGAACTTTTTTGACATATTTGTATGCAAGTAACTATATCCAGCTTTGCTCTTAAATCGAAATGGTACCAACTTTTCACTCTATGACTTCAAGAAAATAATTGATAAAATCAGCCCGGGTGCTTAAAGAATCATTTCTCTTCTGTCTCCAATAAAACACAGCCCTTTCATGACAATAATTCGGCAAGAATACTGGAGTGGGTAGCCATTTCCTTCTTCAGGGCATCTTCCTGTCCCAGGGATCGAACCCATGTCTCCTGAGTTGCAGGCAGATTTTTTACTATCTGAGGTACCAGAGAAGCACTCAAACTTTGACCTTTATTCATATAAGAAAATCTTGCTCATCTAATACATACATCCTTGGTCTATATTTTACTGTATCTCTGGGGCATGGTTTTAAAAGTGTTTTACTCCCATATAAATTCTGTTTACTTGCGCAGTTCCCATTAGCTTTATAATACAACACAGAACCTGAACAGGAAATATATTTTATGAAGATTCCAGGGTGATTGGTGCTCGTCATGGCAGTATCAAAGGCTCAGATCCATGCAATCAAGTATCTTTATGCTGTTAGTCATGACCTTCTCCTTTGAAATGATTGCCTGCCATCTGTTATTTCATTAAGTATTAAATCTTTGTTGCTGAGCAGCAAGCCAATTTGCCTTCACAGATTTACCCCCCAAAAAAGCATTTAAAATTCCTTTATGAGGGATGTAATTGCTTAAACTCAGAGTTCTTTTAAAATTCCAGATGAAAACTGAACATGTGCATGTGAAGTACACTGCAATCAAGATACTGAAGTCATTAGCTGTGCAGTCATACAACCCCTTAAAAGGCTATTCACGGCTAAAACCCTACATTATCACAGTGCTTAATTGCTGCAAACTTTGCCCATTAAAAATGAGGATGTGTACAAGACAACTAAGCAAAAGCATTGTGAGTAACTTCAAGAGGCAACAAATTGTTGCCATTTACATCTGTAACTAAAAAAATTGGGGGATTACACTTTTCTGTCTCCTGGAGGTGTGTTTCGTATATAACTGATTTGTCTGTGTTACTATTGATCTGATCACTCAATTTGCACCTCCTAATTCATTTCTTAATCTGAGGCTGCCCTGGTGGCTCCGATGGTAAAGAATCTGTCTGCAGTGCAGAAGATCTGAGTTTGATCCCTGGGTTGGGCAGAGTCCCTGGAGCAGGGAATGGTTACCCATTCTAGTATTCTTGCCTGGAGAATCCCATGGACAGAGGAACCTGGTGGGCTACCGTCCATGGAGTTGCAAAGCATCAGACATGTCATTTCATAATCTAGATTTAAATAACTACTCAATTGGGAGCACATGGGGATGAGATAGGAGAAGGAAATGGCAACCCACTCCAGTATTCTTGCCTAGAGAATTCCGTGGACAGGGGAGCCTGGTGGACTGCCATCTATGGGGTCACACAGAGTCGGACACAACTGAAGCGACTTAACAGAAGCATCAGGGATGAGATGCTTATAAGGTTATGACAGCACGCAAAGCCAATAATATATATTGCATTGAGGAAATTAATGCTGAATATTCATTGGAAGGACTGATGCTGATTTTGAAGCTCCAATACTTTGGCCAGCTCTTTTGCGAAGAGCTAACTCATTGGAAAAGACCCTGATGTTGGGAAAGATTGAGAGCAGGAGGGGAAGGGGACAGCAGAAGATGAGGTGGTTAGATAACATCACTGACTCAATGAACATGAATTTAAGCAACCCCACGAGATAGTAAAGGACAGAGGAGCCTGGTATGCTATAGTCCACGGGATCACAAAGATTTGGACACAACTTAGTGACTGAAGAACACTTAATATATTCTATATATTAACATGAATATATTAATATTCATGTTAATACATTAATATATGAATAAACTATATTCATATAGTTTTCAGTGATGCATCATAGTTTATTTTTATGGGAAACTGGTGAGAGATAGCAATACCTTCACCTCTGGCCAAGGGCAGGATTTCTTGCCAAAGACTATCTCACAACAGATTTCCCCAGTGGTTAAGGAATAAGCCTGAGCATTCACCTAAACTAAGAGCAATTCAGGCAGTGTTCACTGTGGTCCAATTCAAAACAGCTGGTGTCTCAAATAAACATTGAAAATGATGACAGGCACTCAAGCATATTTTTCTAAGCCTAGGCAGACAGGTCGTTTTTTACAGACAAAAATGTAGTAACTACTAGCAGTTATTATTAGAGATAAAGACTGAGGATGGAGAGTGGCATGGCTAAATCGAAGGTATATGTTAGACAAGAAACTCGGAATGTAGACCAAAGTTGAAACTGAAAATTTTCAAACATGGAGCACATGGGTTTGAGATAACCCTTTGCAAATTAAATTCAGGCAGTGGGGTTTTTATCATTTAATGTAAGTTTTCAAGAGAATGAACTGAAAATTGGAAGGAACATAAAATCTCAATGTCAGCACTAGAATGTAGATTCTAACAGTGGTTCAACAGAGAGGCTTACCAGGCATCTGAGGAGCCCTCCCAAGTCAAGGGCAGAATGAAAGACGAGGAAGTTCCCAGAGATGGTTCTCGCTTGCCTGGAACCTGCAGGGCTCATATACCACGGGCAGGGCTGAGTGTGAGGGATGTCAGTTATCGGCCTGGCAATGTTGTTGTTCCAGCAGAGGCTGGGGGAATGAGCAAGGGCATTGTCCTAAATATGATAGTTATCACTAGTGATGGTTATTGAATAGTGCATCTTATTTTATGTTAGTTTCCAAGTCAATAATACTCTGAAAACCAGCTTTTTTCTCCAGTTTTAATTCCTAAATTCAAGCTCCTAGAACTGTGAAAGACTGTCTCCTTTGTTGTCATGCACAGAGTTTTTTTTCTTAATATGTCTTAATCCAATCCTAGGGTATAGTCCAGGAATATATATTTCTAAAAATTCCTACGTGATTCTCATGTACATTCAGGTTTGAAAGTTACTGTAGAGAGTTATAATGTTACTCAGAGAAATACTTGATAAGGATGAATTCAGATAGAAAGATTAAAAGAGTGAAACTGTGTCAGTATCTGAATGATAAAGAATGAATTTCTAAAAAAAGAAACCTCTGATTTCAAAAGGTGACCTCCAACAAGGGAGCCATAAAAAAGGGAGAAAGAAAAAAGTCAAGAGAGCTTTAAAACTGGAGCGGCATTTGATTTATATTCACCTAAGGAGATGGAAAATGATTTCACTTTTTCAGGTATGAGTAATCAGTCTACAGCTTTCTGGAACCCTGGTGTTGGGGATTTTAAGCCATGTAATTACAAAAGTAAGAATAGAAAGAAAGAATATTGAAACATAAAAAAAAGATCAAGGAGACAACTTTCATGTGAGATACATACTAGAAGTTATAGAATTATAGTCATGCTTAATGAAATGCAAAAGGCAGAAGAAAACAAATGAAACAATATTTTATGTGTAGACATGATTTCCGAGGTTCTGACATGTGCAGGAAAACTCTCAAGTCTAATGATAGTGAAGTCAAATGCCAGTGGTAATGGGAAGTCTGCATTCAGTAAAAATAAATGGTTGGTTAGATAGACAATGACATGAGACCTTCATGGAAACGTGTGAATCATTTGAAAGGGTCATGCTCTTGGTAAGTGACACAAATCGTATTCTGCAGGCAGATAGCAAGTGCATTTTTTTAGAGAAGAGGAGAAACGATAATAGAAGAGTTTCGTTTTAAGAACTGTTCTCAAAAGAGAAATAGTACTTTCAGCAGGCGGTGCTTCAATGTGTTTAATGAGAGTCACTATAGGGATCCCTGAATCTCTCTGTTCTTCTAGTAATGCCATTTGTACTCCTTTGAGTATTTGGGATAATCCGAGGTGATGGGTTCATGCTGAATCTCACAAAAAATGCCTGCCTCTCATTTTTACTAGTTTCACATTTGACTCCAGAAATTCCACAGGCGATTCTTACATGTTTTCTACCACATTCCTTATCAAGCCACAACCTCGATTAGAAAATAACGACAGTGTTCTTGATGGACATGCCACTTAGACATGGCTAAACATCATAAGGGGGGGGTCCCTAGGTGGCTCTAGTGGTAAAGAACCTGCTTGTCAATGCAGGCGATATAAGAGATGTGGGTCCAATACCAGGGTCAGGAAGATCCCCTGGAGGAGGGCATGGCAACCCACTTGAGTATTCTTGCCTGGAGAATCCCATGGACAGAGGAGCCTGGCAGACTACACTCCACGGCGTCGGGAAGAGTCAGGCAAGACTTGCCGACTAAACAAACCAATGACAGACACATGCAGGGGGAACACAGTTATATTATAGAAGGCATTGATGGTTCATTTAACAGAAGCTTAAGAATGAAAAAACAGAAGGATCAGAAAAAAATAGAGTTGCATAATGTAGAGAGTCTATTTTTTAAAAACTGTGTCAAATTCATAGAGTCAGAAAATTCATTGGTAGATGCCAGGGGCTGGGGAATGGGGAGGTGAGGAGGGGCCTTGGGGAATTAGTGTTTAATGGGAACAGAGTCACAGTTTAGGAAGGTGAAAAATTCAGAAGATGGATGATGGTGAAATTTGCACTAGAATGTGAATATACTTACTGCCACTGAACTGTACAGTTGCATATGGACAAAAGAGGATATTTCATATTTGCAACTCTTACAAAATAAAAAAGAACATTTAAAAAGCCCTGCCCCCAAATATCAAAGCAAATTTCAACATTAAAAAAGAAAATTGTTCCCTGAGTCTATTTTTCTGGATGCCATGTCAATGAATATGATAAATGTGTTTTTGGCACTTGCATGTTAAATAGAGTATGAAGAATTACTCTAGGAGCAGATTTAATTTAGTATTTGTTTCTTAGTCTCTGGATCATGAACATCATCTCCCCTGTCCACACACACACACACACACACACACACACACACATCAGGAGGGTTTTGTTGTAAAGAATAATGAAAGCTGCATAAGCATTTCTGTGAAAGAAGCGTTGTGATTAACATGGTGAAGCCGGGGCAATGAGGTCAGCGATGGAGGTCACAGCAGCAGGAGCTGGTGCTGTGAGGGGACAGCCCGCTCAGGGTGAGGCTGGAGGGGGGGGTCCACTGGGGCGTGGGGTGCGGTGACCCTGAAACCCCCTCTTCACCAGCGCTCGAAGGCACAGAACCAAAAGAGAGAAGGATGCTCATCACTGTCCCACGTCCTTGCTGAAAAGAAGCGAGACCAGACTTGCTAACATTTCCCGCAGCACTTTAGAGTACCATTTTGAAGGACATTTCAAAAAAAGGAGAAAAAAAGTTATTCTTTGCCATATGCACTGTCCCTTTCATTCCAGAGCTCAACTCTGATTTCAAGGGGGAAATAAAGACAATATGACAGGGTATATGCCACATTCAAGTGATGTAAGAATTGGATGCTTGCTCTAGGGCACAGAGCTGGGCAAATGACCTGCTAAAAAGAGAGCTGATTTCTGTGCAGGAATCCTCAGCACAAACAGCAGAGATGCTCCAGAAAACAACAGAAAAATGTTATAAATTACTTCTTTTCCATCAGTTTCAAGAGAGTGACTGAACTCCTAATGCAAGAACTTATATGAATCTATATATGACTTTGATGAAAAAACCATCTTTTGGCATTTTCTGAAAGAACATGGAATCAAGCTATAGGTATAGTGATTTTTTAAACAATTTTGGTTTAGTTGGCAATATTATTTGTGTAAATTGTCTAAATTTATCATGTGATCATTTAAGTTATGCTTTTCCTATTACTGTTTTCACTCTAATATATAATTTCTTCAACTCCAAAAGGAGTTGCAATAAATTAGAGGTTTACATCTGATGAGATGAATATTATGAATAAATATAGATTGCAGAGCTGTTCTCACTAAGCTATTCTCTCTAAGCTATTCTCTCTAAGCTGTTCTCTGTAAGGGCTTCCTGATGGTTCAGATGTTAAAGAATCTGCCTGCAATGAAGGAGACCCAGATTCTATCTCTGGGTTGGGAAGATCTCCTAGCAAAGGGAATGGCTACCCACTCCAGTATTCTAGCCTGGAGAATCCCATGGACAGAGGAGTCTGGCAGACCACAGTCCACAGAGTCCACAAAGAGTTGGACACAACTGAGCATCTAACACTTCCCCTTTATAGGTCTGACCAAAAAACACTTCACACTAAATATTCAGGAACCTTCTTATATTCTTTACAGATCTCCAATTCCTTTTATTAAATAAAAATGTCAGCACATTAAAATTTCATTTAAATTAGTGAGAAAATAACTACTTTGTCTGTGTTTTAGTTATAACAGAAGACTTTGAACCATAATTTAAAGGTCAATTTCAGATTTCTTTTTTAAACTCAAATCTGGTGTTTAATATTTAAACCATGGCTTCTAATTGTTTTTATTGAAGCAATGATTTTCTCCATTACTTCTGTAGGGTGGATTTTTCTGTCAAGTAGAGAGATGTCAGAAAGGGAAAAATGCTTGCAATAACTTCATTCGAAGACAAAATACCTGAGGATAATTTAGATTTCACACAGCTATACTCAATGAAAAGAAATGCTATTGAATCTGTGAAACATCAAATTTCATGAAATCTCACAGAGACCTTGAAAAATTGACCTTTTAGAAGCATTGAGAAATAGCAAGGAGAAACCATAAGGTTATCATGGCCTATATTCTTTAGGTAATCTTGTTCTGCAATATTTTCAAGGTTGCACTCTTAGGGTATTAATTATGCTTACATGTTTATAATTTTATTGCGTAATAAAACGTCTTCCATTCTCTTCTCCAGGGGATCTTCCCGACCCAGGGATGATGGAATCCAGGTCTCCCACATTGCAGGCAGAATCTTTACCATCTGAGCCAGCAGGGAAGCCTAATAAAGCATATAGTTTCCATAATCCAGTTAAAGCACTATTTTCTCTAAGTATATTGATATATATCATTTATATAAAGTGCATACATATTTATGCTTTGTAAAATCATATTTTCTTAATTTTATTTAAAATATTACCATCATTTTATTTATATGAATTATAATCTTCTGCTAGTTAAGAAGTCAAAATATGATTACTATGAAAAACGTTCTGGATTAGGTTACATGGATTCTATGAAGATATAATAATGTGAAAAATGCTTTTACAGATTCCTGATGTTTATCAAGAATTTGTTTTGGAAGGTAAAATGTATTAATATCAGAATTTCATATTATCTCCCAAATCTGCATATAGATAATCTTCTGTATTTGTGAACCACTGGTCTCAATCATGCATGTCTTATGCATATTTATTAGGATATACGTTGCTATTGGAGTTCAAAGTTACTAACAATTGATGCCTTCCCTCATGAAAGAAACATTTTTATGCAAGTAGTTATCAACCATGTTTATAATCAGCAAATATGATCAATCTGAAATACCTCCTACTCTTACATATGCTGAATATACACGAAAAGATGCAAAACACAGGCATACCCTCTATGTTTGTCTGATTGCATGATGTGTGCATATGTGTGTATGTATATGTGTATGTGCGTGTGTTCAGTTGCTGCCAACTCTTTGTGACCCCATGGACTGTAGCCCACCAGGTTCCTCTGTCCATGGAATCTTCCAGGCAAGAATACTGGTGTGGGTTTTCATTTCCTCGTCTGGGGGATCTTCCCCACCCGGGGATCAAAACCTCATCTCCTGCGTATCCTGCATAACAGGCAAATTCTTTACCCACTGAGCCATGGGGAAAGCCTTGCATATGTGTTTATACAAATAGAATTCAATGTGATCCTTAAAATAGAGAGAAAAGTTGGATTATTCTTGGGAAACTGTTAAAGAAAGTTAAAAAAAAAGATCCATTGCATGCAATCTTCAAGATAAAAATAAATAACATGAATAAAACAATTCCATAAAATGGAAGAAAGTATATTTAATAAATTTAAAAAGCAGAAATATACTACTGACAAAATTTCTAAGAAGGTGACAAGAAAGACCTAACATAATACTATTCATGATGACTGCTGATGAAGACTAATTTTTTATCAAACAATAAATATTGGGCTTGCTTCCCTGGTCACTCAGACAGTAAAGAATTCTGCCCCCAATACGGGAGACCTGGGCTCAGTCCCTGGGTTGGGAAGATCCGCTGGAGAAGGGAATGGCAACCCACCCCAGTATTCCTGCCCAGAGAATCTCATGGACAGAGGAGCCTGGTAGGTTACAGTCCCTGGGGTCACAAAGAGTCGGACACTACAGAGAGACTGACACTTTCTTCACTTTCATTGTTAAGATTTCGGCTGAATAATAATAACACAGATCTGCCTATGAACTTGGCCTCCCTATTTGGCTTTTTCAGACACTGCTTTGACTCAAGTTTCCCCACAGATGGTTCCTGTCGGGGGAAGATAGAGATCTGGTGGTCCCTCCGTATTTGCTCAAGTGAACATGTCACAGTTTTGTCTTCAGAGGATTGCTTAACCACACTGCTTATTTATTAAAAGTTTACCATATGCTAGGCTGCCTGTTTCCTGGTTCTTTGGTGAGAAAGAGAGGCCTTTGGGGGAGAATTCTGAGTCTGAACCCTCTGATATTTCACAATTGCTGCCTTCTTTTGCTCCTTGTTCAGATTATATAAGAATAAAAGAAAATCTGGCGAAATCACTGCCTGATTACTTTGGAGTCCTCATGTCCATAGACAGGCTGCTTTCTCCTCACCTTTCAGAGTCTAAGTTTTATCTTATATACAATGCCCAGGGTTTTTAGTTGTACTTAGAAAGAGCAAAAACAAAATTTATATCTACTTTATATCTACACTTTCTTCCCCAGGGCTTCCCCGGTGGTTTAGATGGTAAAGAATCTGCCAGCAATGTGGGAGACTCTGGTTGGTCTGCTGGTTTGGGAAATTCCTTGGAGAAGGGAATGGCTACCCGCTCCAGTATTCTTGCCTGGAGAATTTTATGGACAGAGGAGCCTTGTGGGCTATATAGTCCATGCGGGTCACAAAGAGAAGGACACGACTGAGCGACTAACACTTTCACTTATCAATTTTTTCTTCCCTGAAGTATTGATATGTAATTTTAAAAGACTTGTATAGCAAATGGATCACCAATTTGGAGCAAGAAGGAAGATTTCTCAAATTTGAAAAAGACCTCTAAGCCCCCAAATTTCTAGATACTGAAAACAAGCAGAAAAAGTCATTTGCAAACATATGCCTGCTTATTTTCTCTGTTGAAATTATTATTATTATTTCTTGCTTAGGCTCTTATTTTTATTGTATCTTGCTCTTACTTAGAATGTAACTATCTGCACCCAGAAGCAGCGGTAGCTTGTAAAAGTGGGATCTGTTATTTCTCTCTCTGCAACCTTATCCTTTCAATGTGACTGTTTTCCCTCGCCTTGAACTGGACTTGGTTACATGACTGCATTTGACCCAACAGGAAGTTAGAAAACTTGGAGCAAGAGAGACCTGAAGAGCCACTCCCGCACAGAAGGACTCACGCTTTCTCACTGCACTTGGATCCTGTGGCTGCCGTGGGAAGGGACTGAAACTAGTCGACTGGAAATCAACAGGCCATGTGAAGAAAAACAGAGGTCACAGCCCCAGCAGTCAGTAAGCCCAGATCTTACCACTGACACACGCGTGGGCTCAACCAAGATCACGGGAGCCTGCCTCAGACCAGGTGGACCACCTGGCTAAATGGATTTTTTTTTTTTTAACTGCAAGCTTTGGTGTCATTTTTGTTATTCTGTCACTCAGTCTTGTCCAACTATTTGCGACCCCATGGACTGCAGCATGCCAGGCTTCCCTGTCCTTCATCATCTCCTGGAGTTTACTCAGACTCATGTCCATTGAGTTGGTGATGCCATTCAGCCATCTCATCTTCTGTCAACCCCTTCTCCTCCTGCTTTCAATCTTTCCCAGCATCAGGGTCTTTTCCAATGAGTTAGCTCTTTGAATCAGGTGAACAAACGATTCAGTTTCATCATCAGTTCTTCCAATGAATATTCAGGGTAGATTTCCTTTAGAATTGATTGGTTCAATCTCCTTGCAGTCCACGTGACCTTCAAGAGTCTTCTCCAGCACCACAGTTTGAAAGTGTCAATTCTTTGGCACTCTCTTCCTACTAGGCATTAAAAGAGACAGCATTGTCAACACTAAAGAAATATTTGCGATGCACTGCCTACCAACTTACCCCTGGCTCCATGACATACAGACACCTTCTTTTAAAAAAATTAAAAACACAGTCCTGCCATGTGGTCATAGATTTGGACAAGCGTTTCACAAAAAAAAAAAAAAAAAGAAAGAAAGAAAGAAAAAAAAAACCACCCAAATGTCTAATAACTATATTAAAAAAAGTCCTCAGCTTCACTGGCCATCAGGGAAATGAAAATCAAAACCACAAGGAGATATACAGGTATCAGATTTACTGAAAGGAAAGCATCAGAAAACACCAAGTATCTGAGTGAATGTTGTTGAGCAACCACACTCACAGATTGCTGGTGGGAGTATAAATTGATATTTTTAAAAACTGCTTGTCAGCAGCAACTCAAGTTGATACACTTACCCTGTTACCAAGCAATGTCATTTCTGGATAGGAGTCTGGAAGAAATATGTGCATATGCTTACAAAAAATATACAAAATTGTTCACAGCAGTATGATTTGCAATGTCCTCAAACTAGACACTAAACAAATGTCTATCAGCAGAAGAATGGATAAACTATCATGCAGTGACACAAAATATCATTGAGCAGAAATGATGTAAATAATCTAAAATGCTACACAACAACATGAAGGAATGTCTCAAAATATGATTTTGAACAAGGTAGACCAAAAAAGGTATGCAGTGTATTCTATTCAAACAAAAATAGGAAAATCTAACATAACGCTCCCCTGATGGCTCTGTGGTAAAGAATCTGACTGCCAGAGCAGGAGTTGAGAGTTCAGTCCCTGGGTCAGAAAGATCCCCTGGAGAAGGAAATAGCAACCCACCCCAGGATTCTTGTCTGGAGAATTTCATGGACAGAGGAGGTTGACGAGCTATAGTCCATGGTTTTGCAGACGTGCAAAGAGTGCAAGAGTCAGACGTGACTTAGCAACAATACACCAACAATAGCAAAAACAACTTAAGCTCTTAGAAATCTAAAAAGTGGTTTTCCTTGGGGAAAGGATGAATGTAAGTAAGTCTTTGTGGTGCCAGCAATATTCTATTTCTTGACCTGGTCACTGGTTACAGAGGAGAGATCAATTTGGGGAAAAACACAGATATACATTTATTGAAAGGATATATATCACCTTAATAAATGTCCGCTGTCCATCAACAACTTTCTTGTTAAATGTTAATAAGATGGTGAAAATTAATATTCATAGTTGGTTTCCATTGGAATATTAATATCTTCCTAAATGAAAGCAGATAGACAAAATATCTGAAAGATTTTTAAATCAAATTGATTCTCTTCCATCTTTCATTAAACTCTTGGGCTATTTTTGCCTACTATCTCAGTTCTGCTTTATTTAATATCTTTCCAAATTAGACATTATATTAATAGTTAATTTCCTGGCATTATGCAATCAATGAATTTTAGATTTATTTAATGTTTAGCAATTTATTTGCTACCATTTCCCTTTCATTTCACAATGTGTTGCTTTTAATTTCTTTCATTTTGAATATATAACTCAGTAGTTCTTCTTTCAATAGTACATTATGTTAGCAGTGGTTTCTATCTGAAATTGTCCTTTTTTAACACTGTCAGATACTTCAGGAGCTTATATCAATAGAGAATTCAAAGTTCACCATTGTTTTCTCACATCACTTTAAAGGTATTTTTCTGCTGCCTTGTATCTATTTTTGTCCCTGTTAAAATGTCTAATTTTTATTTATTCTGATAAAATCTTTTTTTAAAGTAATTTTTATGACTTACTCTTTGTCTTTGATGTTCTGAAATTTCCCTATTCTATGGATTAAATTATTTTCATATTCAAGATTATGTATTTCCTAAATCTGAAAATTTATATAAATTTTGGAAAATTCTCAATAGTACCTTTAAAAATATTACCTTTCTCATTCTCTTTTTTCCTCTTAGGAGTTTCCAGTGGAGATGTATTGGAATTTCTCACCTGTCTACATATTTTTTTTTAAATCTGTCTTTTATAATGTTATCTTTTAAACTTATTTCATTGCATCAAGATGGATCCCCCCAAAATGCGCTTTAAAACTCTTTCCTCAAATTCATGTATCTGCAGTTTCATAAATAATTTAATTTCTCCTTTGATTCTTTTTATGTCCAGATTGTGTTTTATTTTCAAACACAACTTCTTGTAGTGTATATTTATCATATTTTTACTCCCTACTGTTATTCCTTTAATAACTTTAAACTTATTTTTATATAAAAGCAATAATTCTCTGGGGATTTACTGTTTGTATTTTCTTCTGTCCCTTGTTTGCAGTGGTTTGTAACTTTAGACTGTGAACTCTTTTTTGTTAAGACTGTCACTGTGGAACATGAAAAATCTAGTGAGACATTTAAAATCCCCTACTTCATTTTATGGAACATCACAGTACTGTAGCCACATTTTATGTCAATATTTCAGATATTATTTCCAATATTTCGAAGACCACAAACTTGAATGCCAGATTTACATACAGTGTAGGCTTATGATTAGAACTCCTCAAGGGACATGTTTTTTTCTTAGAGGATGCCTTAGCTTGCCGAGGGCTACCATACAAAGTGGATTTCCCTGGTGGCTCAAGGGTAAATAATCTGCCTGCAATGCAGGATACCCGGGTTCAATCCCTGGGTTGGGAAAAATCCCCTGGAGAAGGAAATGGCAACCCACTTCAGTATTCTTGCCTGGAGAATCCCATGGACAGAGAAGCCTGGCAGGCTATAGTCCATGGGGTTGCTAAGAATCAGACATGACTGAAGTGACTAAACAACCACCAGCACCATACAAAGTACCCCGGGCTAACTGACTTAAACAAGAGAAGTAGTTCTGAAGGGTGAAAGTCTAAAGGCAAGGTTGGTGGAGCTGATTCTTCCAAAAGCTGTGAGAAAGGGATCTGTTCCAGACCTCTTTCCTTGGCTTCTAGATCCATCTTCACATCCCCATGACATAGTCCCTGCATGGTGCCTGGATCCAAATTTCCTCTTCTTATAAGACACTGGTCATATCAGGGGCTACCCATTAGGGTAGGGCTAGCGATCTAATTTGAATTTTGCTGCCTCTTCTGTAAAAACCATGTCTCCAAAGCAAGTTAGATATTGGAGATTAAGACCTGAACATGTAAATTCTGGGGACACAATTAAATCCATAACAACCATATGCTATTTATCCTTTTTTTTTTTTTTAGTTTTCTCTTTTACTAATAATACAGGTCTTTTTTTTTCTTTTCTTTTTTTTTCATATATTTTTATTAGTTGAAAGCTAATTACTTTACAATATTGTAGTGGTTTTTGCCATACATTGACATGAATCCGCCATGGATTTATATGTGTTCCCCATCCCAATCCCCCCTCCCGTCTCCCTCTCCATCCCATCCCTCTGGGTCTTCCCAGTGCACCAGGCCTGAGCACTTGTCTCATGCATCCAACCTGGGCTGGTGATCTGTTTCACCCTTGATAGTATACTTGTTTCAATGCTGTTCCCTCAGAACATCCCACCCTCGCCTTCTCCCGCAGAGTCTAAAAGTCTTTTCTGTACATCTGTGTCTCTTTTTCTGTTTTGCATATAAGGTTATCTTTACCATCTTTTTAAATTCCATATATATGCGTTAGTATACTGAATTGGTTTTTATCTTTCTGGCTTACTTCACTCTGTATAATGGGCTCCAGTTTTGTCCATCTCATTAGAACTGATTCAAATGAATTATTTTTAATGGTTGAGTAATATTCTATGGTATATGTGTACCATAGCTTCCTTATCCATTCATCTGCTGATGGGCATCTAGGTTGCTTCCATGTCCTGGCTATTATAAACAGTGCTGCGATGAACATTGGGGTGCACGTGTCTCTTTCAGATCTAGTTTCCTCGGTGAGAACACAGGTCTTTAAGCATCTAACTTTAATAAATTGGTCACATTTTCAAAGCAGCCTCGTGCTACCTTCAAACCAAATATCTCATATGTACGTAACCCACAGCTTCTACTTGACCAAGATTATGAATCATATTCATAAATAGCAGAGGTTTTAATGCCTTAGGTTTTGTTCCTTCGTTATTTTTAGATCTTTGGAATTTCTCTTATTTTTATGAGCTCATTGCAAATAAAAAAGTATGTTTGTGATGATGTATCCCTTACACTTTAGTAAAAGCAAAGGATGAAAGTTTCAGAGGCTTTCCAGTCTCTCATGAGCTGTAATCCAACAACCAGAAAACTCCTAGAGACTTCAGTTAACCATTTCGCACATAGAGAGGAAGAGTCACTTACTTACAGGATAAAACTCATGATCATTTGTGGGCTTTTGATTACCTTTAATGAAAATGAAATGGAAAAAAAATGATTGAAATGCTTTCTCAGTTTTAATTTTTTTAATAATTGAATTTATTTATTTATCTTTGCGCTGAGTTTTTGCTGTGGTGGCTTCTCTTGTTCCGGAGTATGGGCTCTAGAGCATGTGGGCTCAGCAGCTGCAGTTCCTGGGCTCTAGAGCACAAGCTCAATAGATGTGGTGCACAGTCTTGCTCCTAGACAGGCAGAATTTTCCTGGATTAGGGATCAAACTGTGTCTCTTGTGTTGGTTGGTAGATTCTTTACCACTGA